CCCCCCCCCCCCCCAACTTTTTTTCTTTTCTCCCTTCCGCATGAACAGGAACACAATTCCTCAAAAAAATTATGCCAAATTGATTAAGCTTACAGGATAGAAAAAATAGTTCTATTGAATTGAAAATCACATTCATCATTCAAAACAAAACAACTTCTTCCACATAATTGCTGTCCGGGGCAGTACAAACAAAAGACGCAAAGGAGCACATTAACAATATAGGATATTCAGTTAACAAATTGCAGATCGATTAAAAAAATAACTAACCTTTCTGGTGCTGAATTTGTGCTTTCTTGGAACTGGGATTTGTAGGACTGTTCTTAAGCTTATTTATATTGGCAAGTTGAGCCTGCCTGCTCTGCTCAATTTCTTCCATCAACTTGTCCTCAACTGAAGTATCATACATTTTTCCTTCTCCAAATCCACGCGGTTTGTTCTCAAGCCACTCTTTCATATTCCTCAAAGGAACAGCAAACTCATCATCATCTTCTTCTTCTTCAAAATCACCAACAAAACTATCCATTTCCAAGAGACTGCTGCCACCTTTTCTCCCACTTTTTAAGCCATAAACACAGAACCCAGTACGTTTTTGCGCAAGATAAGTACCAAAACTGAGTGGGTTCGCTTCGGTTGGGGGAAAATAATGGTAGGTTTGATTGGTTTTGTTACTGAGTATACCACAGTATGAAATGGGAGAATAAAGGGTTGTGTTACACTGCAGGGATGGTGGAAATCTTCCAAGACTTAGCATCGTTGGCTGTTCAGCTCAATTAAGAAAAGGCCCTGACACTATTATTTGGCGGTATTTGTGCGGCACTGGGCTATGAATTTGAGAGTTTGAGATTCTTGTTCTGGGGGATCGATTCAGAGGTTGTGAAGGATGACGACGATTGACAAGAGAATAGAGAGAGATGAAGTCGGGGGATAATGTTGTTTGTACAAGGAACTAGGAAGGTGATTTATTGGGTTTGAAGATAGCTTGACATGGGCTCAAAAATGTCTGGCCCAAAGTCTCCAATGCCATCTATTTTTTTTCAAGATCTTGAACAATTTTTTGTTTTAATTATATAATTTAATGTGATTTTTCTGTCTAAATTTATTGCTAATTTTAGCTGACCGTCTCATGTGCACATCCGAATGTCAAAGTATAATATAACTTATTAACATGACACGAAATTATAGGGTTTAGATTTTTCGTAAATAATATGTTTCGTAAATGAGTAAACTTGATACGATACGATTAATAAGCGAGTGAAGTCAATTAAAAAAAATACATGACATGATTTGTGTATATACTGATTATATAGGATTCATATATGACACAAACCTGATATAACACAATTCGTTAGACACGAACTAATAAACGAATCAGATATGAGTAAATATGTTTTTTGACATGAAACCATCTCACCATCACGTTAACAAACACACTTACATGTGTCTATACCATTTTAAAATGTCAGTAAAAGTGAAATTTTTTTGTTTAACTATGATGTCCTTATTAAAATAACTAATGTTGACATTATCCTTTTAGCATCAATATTTATCTATATCTATATTAATTTATATTTATATGACTCATTTGGTAAACATATTATGAGAGAATTAAATATTAGATTGTACTAATTTTTATTTAATCAGGTCTAATACTTTGTTTGGTAAGTAAATTTGATGCCGTATTAATTTAAAAAACGTATACTTATCGTATATTTTTTATATGATAAACCTGTATTATAGAAGTATTTTAATACCACAAAA